ACGATGCCAATTTAGGAGGATTTAAAAACTGAAATGTGAAGCTTACATTTTTATGAAAGCTGTTTTATAGTGAGATTGTTTTCATAACTTAGGTCATTTCAGGCGTTATGTTGTCATGGAAAATAAGGTTACAGTGCAGCTATATGAGCTTTTTATAGATTTCCTTGAATAATATGTTTATCTTTGTCTTTGTAAAGGTAACTTGCTCAAGCTTGTTTATGTATAGTTATGTAAAGCTGTTTGTGAATGTATAAGGTCAGCAAAGTCTAAAGTGCATGATAATTAAAGTTACTGTCTTTTAAAAAAGAAATAGATTCTGAACCACTGAAATGAGTCCACAGAGAATGCAGTCCACTTCAAATGCATGAAAAGCTTGCACACATAAATGTGAAATGCCCACTGTCAGATAAATCTAATTTTACTCACACAAACATATTGATCTTAACACTTATATTTATGGGATTGTTTCTTTGTGCACTAATGAAATGATCACTCATTATTAAAGTTTTGCATTTAAATGATCACACGTGCATATGAACTCTTACACCTTTGAAGCAATCATGCAAACATGCCATATCTTTGCATGTATAAAAGGATCATGCAGATATAAAAAGTATTTCATGTATAAAACTCTTGAACATATATACAAAGCTATAGGATCTCATAATGAACTACAAACTAAGTAAAGACTTAGTGGTGGAAAGCATGCTTATGATGGAGATTGGCATTTATTCTAATGTTTTATAACTAGATGCTGGATTAAAGTGTTTCTTATCAACAAAGACAAGCACAGAAGTCAATAATATACTGTATTTGACAGAATATATCTGCATACATCAGACATCATATTCATGTAGGATAAATTTAACAACATAATGGTGGCATAATGCCATGTACATATACAACTATTTTGAGCCATTCCAGCATTATGGATGTGACATTTGCAGTAAAATCTTAAAACATAAATTCACAGAGAAACCTGTTTGTATTTTTCAAAACAGCTAACCAAAGAGTTTAAGGATCAGAAAAATATCATTCTGTTAACCTTTTTTTATCATTTAAATCAGAAAAATAAACATGCGTTATGGATGTGATGAAAAAAAGTTAGCAGGTTTACAGTCTACCACATACTTTGTAAAAATATGATAGATTTTATTTGACATTTTTTGCATTCATGCAGAAAAAGCTCTGTTATGGATATGACAGATGTGAAATTGGCACTAGTGTGAGTTTGGTAAATAAAATAAAATAGTTTGAAAACATTAACATATATTTTTGAGTATTTTTAAAGCACTGTAAAATACTTGTGTACACAAAAAAAAAACGCTGAAATAGTTTCAATATTTTGTTGAGAACCTAATTTTTTTTCATGGCAAGGTTGACATTTGAATGGAATTGTTCTTATAAATTATATACTACATCGCCTCCAATAAAAACTGTCATCTCAACATGGTCAAACTGCACATGTCTACACATACTAAATTAACATCTTTAAAACTGCTGCCATAACATGTTCACAAATGCATACTAAGATGATCAAAAAACTCACAGTTCTCATTTTAAGGAAAATTTCACCCAAAAATGGAAATATACTCACTGCTATCTACCTTTATCAGTTAATTTCTTCTGTTGAGCATAAATTAATGAAGAATGGTATGACCTGAAACCACTGACCTCAACAGTATTTGTTTTTCCTACTATGAAAGTCAATGGTTAAAGGTTTTAGCATTCTTTAAAAAATCTTTCATTGTGTTTAACAGAAAAAAAAGAACAGTCACACTTTATTTTGATGGTCCGTTTGTTGAATTTAAGTTGCAATGCAACTAATTCTCAAAAGATTATAAGTAGACTGTTAGGTTAGGGTTGGGGTTAGGGTTTGTGTAAGTTGACATGTACTTGCAAAGTTTCTTATAGTAAGTTAAATATCTGGAGCAGTATCAACAGATATTTAGAAGAAAGTCAAATGGACCATCAAAATAAAGTGTTACCAAACACTCAAAAAGGTTTGACCACTTGAGGTAGAGTAAATATATATTTTCATTTTTGGGTGAACTATCATTTAAAAGTCTTTAGACCGCTATTTTAAGCAAACAATATCTTATTTGAACCAATAACAAACACTGCATTTACAACTATTGTCAACATGTCCTATGTAAATTACCATTATACGAAGGGATTTAAACAAAACAAATTTTTTAAAACAAATTTAGGAACTAATTTAGGAATTTAAAAAAGAAAAATAAGGACACTTTTTTTCACAGATTTCTGAAAGACCCTAATTAATGTTAACGAGAATACTCTTAACACATTGTTGCTATTGACCTTATTCTAAAACGCGGAAGTGCGCCTGTTTTCGCGATTGTCTTAGAACTTCCGATTCAGTCGCCTATGGGAGAAATGACTAGGAATAATAAACGGCAGAAAATGGCCAAACTACCTGCTCAACAAACAAATGTTTGCATGACTACACAGACCAAGAAGCATAATATAATAAGAAAATATTAAATAGCAACATCAAGCAGCGTAACGAGCAGTTGTTAACGACAAAAAATGAATGGAAGTGAATGTGACCGGAAGTCGCGAGACAAAAAGATTCAAATGGCAGCGCCCGCTCGACAGCTGAGAATAAGGTGAATACTCAAACAATAAATATTTTTACAGCCTTGCCCCATTGATAGGGCCTCTTGTTAAAAAAGACAAGGACAAATCAAATGATTTTGTTTCTGGTAATCAACTTTTGTCACAAGTGCTATTGATGATAGCTAGCCTGTTTTGAACCTGGAATACTGTTTTATCTCAAAAAGACACCAATTTTAAAGGAGGAATGGGTGGATCGATCTTGAAATACCAATGCTTATGTTGCATCAAGAGGATCGAACCTCACATAGAACAATTTTCTCTTTGCACGCATTTTGAAACGAGGAAACTCAGCAGTAACAAACAATGCTCAATAACAGCATGCATTCGCACAGAGGAAAAAAATTGCTGGTCAGTACTAAGGTTAACACAGAGAAAAGAAGCATCAAGTTGAGTTACCTCACTGCATGACACATTGGTGAAGTTTAGTAAGACAATTATTAAAAATGGGCTTTTGTGCCGTTTCATAAAGCCTTACATAGCCAGACTACTCCATTGATTTTTATCTTATTCTGTCCAGAGTACACACACTCAGACAGAAACAGACCATTTGAAGATGTGCAGCTACTAACCACAGTTCATTTTGCTTTCAGATGGATTTATCTAATTATAGCACCATAAAAAACAGCCAGTGTCTGAAAAGATTAAATTTGAATGGATGAATAAGCTTTCAGAATTTCTGTCCACCCAAATACTTTGAACTTGATGTTGTAAAATTTAAGATTTTTTTTTATAATGTTAATATATTATGCTTTTGCTTTTTATGAAAGAAGTAAGCGATCAAAATATTAGTATGATTTTTAAAAGTGTTTTATAATACATTCTAAAAGTAATATATTCAATAGGCATGCTCCCATCAAGTTTTTTGCAGCCTATACCCAGTACCACTTCCTTGATATGGTGATCTGCCAATAACAAGTACCAATTCTGATGCGTCAAGCTTTATAATGCTTAATGATAATTTTCCCTCAAAGTACGACTTTTAAGTGGAGATCTCTCCTTACCTAAGAGAATCCCTTAAACATGTCTCTTATAACCATTTAGTGTGGACATGTCATGGTCAGAAGCGGCGGCTTTGCAGCAAATAAAAAGGTTAACAAGAATTACTAATAAAAAAAAGATTTTAAAAAGGTTTAAAAATTACTAACAAAGCATTTTGGAAGCATTTAGAATTCAGAATTTAGAAGCATTGCAAATGATGGAAGAAGAATTCAACATGTCTCAATCAAAAAAATCTTTTGGAGCACATATCTATTGTATAAGTAGTTAAAATGCACACCTATAAATACATATTTGTTTATTGCAATAAGTATATTACAAAAAATATTCAATGAAATAAAAACATTATAAATTATTAAAGTTTTTAAAAAGTATTTTAAAGTTGTTTTGTTTTTATTTTAATAACATTTTCAGCCAGGTTTTAGTGAACTTGCAATATTGTAAAAAAAATACAGACCTTTTAGTTCTTATACATGCAAAAAGGCCTAAATACATGCAAGGCCATTCCAATATTTTGCTCTCCACCTAATTTGCATGATGACAGAGACAAAGATGTGCACTCGGGATATCTAACCTAACAAATGTAATGCTTACAACATCACCGTGCCTCTCGCGATCTGTTTCTGGGGCATTTTATCGTATTCACGGGCGTCACAGAGCTGCTATGAATATGTGCAAGACTCGCGGAGCTTCCTGCAGAGCTAATACGGTTGGATAAGACTGTATGAGGAGATCACTCTGCTCAATCCGTTTCAAATGTATAATACTTATGCTTCAGAAATCATTCCAACATGCTGATTTAGAACGTTTGGTGTTCTTGTTCTCATTCTTTTGGCAGTTATTCTATAATGTGTTGTCAACAGATGTGCTTTTTATACCTTTGATAAACTTAACAAATCTTTAAATAAAAGGATAAAAATATAACTAACAAGTATAAACAACACTGTAGTGAATGATCAAATGATGTTTTTATTATTCATGTAATTTATGATTAAAAAAAATTGATGCTTCTATCTATTTACATTTTATAAAATATTAACCTTCTACTAAAGAAACAGTCATCTTTATTTATGGATAGCCTAGAAATGAGTGCATTAACACACAATTCTCTCTTTTAAACATATAGTTTTGTGTGTGTTCATTCGTGCGTGTATGCATGTGTTTTATTTAATTCAGCATAGTTGCTCATTCTGATGCTGACACTGATGCCTCATCCACAGATGTAGAACATTCACCAATTTCTGGGGGGAAAAACTGTTGATTTGTTTAGTTTCTTTATTCATGCAATGCATAATTTTTAGTCTGTGACATTCAGCTGTGATTTTGCCAAACCAATGAATAAAAACATACTCTTTTCATTTCAGGATTCATACAAAACTGGGCTTCCCATCCCACTTTTAAAGCACACAGATGGGCTTATTTGATTCTCCAGCAGGAAAAGAGTGCGCTAGAGCAATAATTAGTGCGTTTTCAAGCCAAGCGTGTGTGAAAAGTGAAGGCAAGGGAAGAAGCTGTCATCCAAAATTGGTGCGACATTAAAAACAGCTTCGGGAAAGGTGATAAAGTGCGCGAGAGGTTAATGGAGAAATGTCACAACCTCTCCATGGATCAAAAAAACTACTTCAAACTTGCCGTCTGGTCTGAACTTTGGCTGCAAGGATGTTTAATGGCTTTGTAGCTGAAGCAGATGCTTTTTTTTTTTCGCTTTAGATACAGCACTAAAGCTCTGCTCTCGTCACTCAAGATGGCTGGTTTTTATGTGGGTCTGAAGAAGAGACTCAAACGTGTGTAAAAGCTGAGGACACGGTGACTCACACCCTGACCAGACCCTGGATGAGGGCATCTGGATTAGACTCGCACTGTGAAATGGAATTTTAGAGCTCAGAGAGAAGGGACAGCCATAATTTCCTGAGCTAAATCTCATCTTTCTTTCAAAAAACAAGCCCAATATCTGATCCATAGGAGGAGAGGGTTAAAAGCCACCAGGGATAAAAATCCTGCTGGCACTGGCAGTACTTTCCTAATAACATATATATTGCTATTTGATGTGAAATGTTCCAGATACATGCAGGGCTTTGAATGAAAGGCTTAAATTATAGATATTTTGAAATGCTGCGAGTTTATGTAACTATTTGGTCATTTGTTTGTTATTTTATAAATAAGTACTTTACAAGTATGTGAATGCTATTACATTAAAGGGCAATAAAGCTGAATCTATTGGGATTTTGTGGAAATTCATTTATGACATATACTACACTTCACTACACTAAAATATACTACACTTTTTAAAAAGACTGTAATTACAACTAATTAGTTTATTCCATGATAGTTCATTACAATAAAAAATGTTTCATTCTGACAGTATATAAAATTATGGAAACAGATTACAAACAAATTATGAATAAAGCAACAAAGATTTTAACCAAAAAAACTAATAAAAACCAGCAACAGCTTGTGTAGATCTTTTATCAGAGAGTGTAATCCAAAAGTTTCTTGAGTAACAAATTATTACAAAAATATTACAATGATTTCCGAAGTACAATGTGACTAAGTCTAAAAATTTGAACAAACTTGTTCAAACTACAAATTAAAAATTAGCAGAAACAACACAATTCTTGAGATTTAATTGGAACAACTTAATTTTTTATGTTCTATCCGTATAAATTTGTTAAAAGTGTTAAGTTAACTTAATCGATTTGTGTTGGGACAACATGAATGAATTGTGTGGAACCCTGCATTTTTTTACAGTGGTAATAAAATACATTTTAAGATATATAAAGATTGTTTTTTAGTAGTATTTATTTTTAACAATGCTTTTTTATTATTTAAAATATAAATTAAATTTCACATACTATTTTATTAAGTTATTTTATTAACCATGCTACATGGTTAGTATTCAAACTTACTGTACATTTTGAAACATTTGAATGGTACATTAAAGCATTACAGTCCAAATTTATGGAAGCATGTATCGATTGGGAGCAGAATATTGCAAATAAAATAACACTTCATAACATATTTAGAGACTATGAAGTGCCATATTGATTTAAAAATGCTTATTGTTTCTATTATTACTATTATTATTATTTTATGTTGACTTAACAATAAAAAATAACATTGTAATATTTATTTCCAAAATAATGTTTTTCTTGGGTCAAATTATTGTCGCATACATTTCTGAGTTTGATTCCCAGTGAAAGCAAGTAATGATGCTTTAGATTTTTTTTTTAAGTGCTTTAAAAAAAAATCTGAATACTGAATGTAACCACAAACCATGATTTTGTGTCACCAAACTTGACTGATTTCTGTGAGAATTTTGGGTTCATGTGGGTTCCAACAGGTCTTCTGCAGTATTTCAAATGATTGGGATGCAGTTCAACGAATAATTTATCAGAAAAATCTACCTTCTGCCACTTTTCCAAATGATCAATTAGAAGTCAAGGGATTATTTGTGGCTCTTACAACTGGGATCGACAACAAGACTTTTGCCAGCTAGCGTAATAGATTTAGAACTAAAGTTTGATTTGCTTTTTAAGAATGGGCTATATATATATATATATCAATTATTATATAATCTTAACAATCTTATTATATAATTGGAATATATTTTTTAAAATACTATTCAAACATGTCACCATAAATTAACAAAAGCATAGTAAAGAAGACTGACAGATGCTGCATATCTCCTTCTAACAGAAACAAAGTAGGCTGTATCACAAACCAGCACCAGTTTAAGCAGCAGCAGGAGCACGTTGATACGCTTCACTTTTCTTTTCAGAAAATTCATCTAGACCTGTGAGCATTCATCATCCCATAAACACTGCATGTATGTAATGAGCTTCTAATCACTCTGCAATCACATTGCATTTAATGAGGCTCACTGCAGTATTTGCACACACACGAAGGTGGTTGCATAATTGGCGACTACGTTTCCAAAACGGCAATATATTCCCTTTATAAACGTAATTGTAAATACTTCTCAAATAAGACCAACTTCATTATGCTAAGGGACACTGAATGCTGAGGTATCTATCTAAATGATAATTGTTGTTGTCAGTCCCACGAGAGTACCTTTCAGATATGAATATAATTTAATCTACTCATTTCTCACAATATCTATTCAGTGATACCTCTAATAAGGGGCTGGATGACCCTATGCAGTCCACAGGGTTTAGCAGTTAGTCCATTCATTACTAGCACAAAAAATGTCAATCATGGCGGTCTGGTCATTAATGCCCAGGGAATGAAGGTTTCTTTTCTCCTCTGGCGAGTCATTACTGTGGTAGAATAAATTTTATGAGTTTCCAAATAGTGTTTGCACCACACAATGTCTATTAGTCGTCCTCCTGTGGTGGAGATATTGACAGTCATTTTAAAATCCCCTGGTGTCAGTCAATGGCTTCCCCAGCCAATCCATTTACAAGTGATGGAGCCTCACGTTTCCTCGTATTTCTCAGGAATGGCAGTTTACTGGCGTCTCCATTTCAGTGTTAAATTGAAATAGTTAAACTGCTGTCCTGTTATTTATGCTAGCTATATAAGAAGATGGTTCTAGACAGTTGCAGATTACAGTGCTTTTATAGAGGAATTTCACTTATGTCACAATTTTGTCAGTTGCCTTAATGTGCAGTAATACTGGAGATACTTGGATGTAAACAGCAGAGGATTGCATGGTTAATGTTAAGGCTGCACAATATATCATTTCAGCATCGATATCGCAATGTGATCATTGACAATAGTCCTACGAAGGATATGCAATGTTGAGTTTGTATTAGAATTTAAATTTCCATGTGTTTTTTAGGCCTGTGACTGTATAATGATTTTAAAAGCATTTAGGCATAAGAAATTGTACCGTTTGTAACTTTAATATCGATGAATTTTACTGAATTATTTGTATTTTCATTATATAATGTTATACAAGGAAAACAAAAAAACCCTCTGTATTTTAATTATACCATGTTCTTTGTTGTATGTATTTGATTTTATTCAGATGCACTCCAACTCAGAATCATCCCAATCAATATAATATTATAATTTCGTGTTAATGGAGATATTGAAGTCACCTGGTGAAATTGTATTTATATTGCAATATATATCGTAGAACAACAAAATATCGCTAGATGTTTCTGATATCGTGCAGCCCTAGTTAATGTGCTACTAAATATGTTGTTCTGACGATTTAAGCTGTCCAAACCATGGAAATAAAAAAACAAGTGCAAGCTGCTAAATCATATGAAAAAAGGACTTCGCAGGAAAGGGTGTAATGTTTTGAAATACTGAATTTAGTAGATGATAAAAGAAAGATATGAAGAATATTAATTCAAATGTTAACCTAATATTGCACAGAAGTAGAGTAGAAATGATAAGAACAAACAAATATTTTATCAGGATTCTTGCCCAGGAAATCCTGATTCAGTTTGGCCAACCACAGACACATTTAGTTTCACTTTTTTGTTTATTAGTTTTTTTAATGTCTTCTGCTTGATTTGTTATAATTGTTGGCCGTCTATAGATGCTTTTTCCTGTTTGACCAATTAGTACATCCTAAAACTTGATAATTATCGATCATCTTCAGCAGCAATAAACAGAAAAATATGCAAGTTTCGTTCAGTCTAGTGGTATTGTTTACGTTCTATTGTTCTATGCCCAAACCTGCCAAAATTGGTTGGTGCTGTAGTGTCCAAGTAATAAAGTTGAGAACAGGGGTGTAGAGTAAAGGGTTTGGGGTATTAGTAAATGTACCATGAACCTGGGTTTCGGGCAGCATTGACGATGAATACTACACCAAAGTTGTGGAGCGAATGGATAAGATGTAGGAGAGTGTAACAAAAAGTGGAATTACTGGAATTTACCGGGAGAAATAACAAAACAAGAGGGTGGTGAGAGATGGATGTGAAATACAGGAGACTCCCAAGAAAAACTAAAATGTTGGCAGGTATGGCCGACTGATGATGTGTCTTTAAAACATTTTATGTAACAATGGCAGAATGTTACTTTTACTTTTATCCTGATTTGCACTGTTTTTATCTATTTTGTGGAAAAGTGCAACACCATACAAAGTGAGCAAACTGAGCAAGCCAGAAAGTGTCCATACAGAGTCAAACATATTTATATCATATAGGCATCATAGCAAAATTATAGACATTGTTGTTTTGTGGTATTTGTTTACTGTTGAACAAAGAAATCCTTTATCCATTAATAAAATGTTCCTTAAAATATCAATAGTGTGAAAAGAAACAATATTGCCTAGTAGTTTATTTTTTTTCTCAAAATTATAGGTTGAAGCACATATTTCCAATGTGTTCCTTTTTTACTTGACTGTCATATTAGATATATTTATTTTAAAAGTGCTATATACAATAGGAGCTAAGTGGAATTATTGTAAAGAGATGGATCAAATAAAAAATATATATATTTGCTGTTGCTTTACTTACCCTCAGATCATCCAAGCTGTACTTTTTCTTCAGTGGAACATCAAAGATGATTGTTGGCTGAAACTGAGGCCTACCAAACTTTCTAAAAGAAAAATACAGGCAAAACAAAATTAAAACCCACGGCTCTATACAAAACATTGAGGTCTGAATCTAAACAAATATTCTAAGCAAGATATTGACATTGACATTTTTACAACATTATTGCATAAAAACCACAGCTTTAGCATGTTAAAGGTCTGGAGCAAAATCACACGTGAGCTGAATGCCGATGCTGTTTGTTTCAGCTTTTCCTTAAGTTGCATCATCCAAGATAAAATGAACAGGCTTAGGACCGTATAATGATGACCTGAAGGTGGGTAAATTTACAGCAAATTTTAATTTTGGTGAACTCTTTGATCTCTTTAAAGATACAGCTCACAAAAGATATCTAATCTGAAAATTAAAGTGTAGTGGATTTGCTACAATACCTTGAGCCACACAGGATCATTTGGGACAGAAAAATGTCATGGAGCAAGGAGTGTGCTTAGATAATTGCTGTGTATAAAACAGCAATACAAACATACTTGTCAGAAGACATGGGATGATAACTGTTTTTAGGTATACCACGATTTGGAAAAGTCAAGATCTTAAAACGTCAACATTTTCTGCTATACCATTCGTAAATTATGAGTAAGATTTTTTTATTTATTTGTATATTTTTTAGGACAACAGTATCTCCAGCAGAAAAGATATCCAAAGATGATGGCAGACAGTCAATGATTTATTGAATTATTTTCAATAATGAAAATACAGTTTCCTGCATGTTTACTGCTCCAAAATATAACAAATGTTGCTCAAAATGATATATATTGCGTTCAAATGGGAAAAACGTTTAGGTTTTTTACCCAGACATTTAAAAAGAGCATATATTAGAGCAGTAATTACAATACTGTCAAACCGTGATATTTTTATCTAAGGTTATCATACCTTCAGAATTTTATACTGGCCCATGCCTACCTGTCAGTACCACAAGCCCCCAAACTGAGCTAGCATCTTCTTTCAAAGTTGCCCAATTTTCTTATAAATTCTATTTAATAGTTAATGTTCATTAATATTAATGTAATTTGGGGCAAACTATGAGGTTAAACAAACAAATTTCTCCAATCCGACCCTCAGCCTAAAAGCTGTTGGACAAGTTTGACACCCCTGCTTTCCCCCTAGGCCTTAGTGCCCACATACGTGGACAGCACATTTAAGCTCTTAAGTGGCTATTTAAAATATTTTGAATGTTTTAGATTTTGTTACAGACTGTTTTGCAGCATATGAAATGTCCCAAACACTATTTTTAACTGTCCAAAATGGGACAAAAAAAATGTGTTTTTACTCTCTGATAGTCAAAACATGTTAAAAAAATGTATATGTTATATATGCATTAAAAAACAGTCAGGAAAAAGTGTTTTATGTAAATTCAGACCACGAGTCCACATATATGGACATAATTTTTCCCTAAAAGTACATCATATCCTAAGATGATAATTAGGTTTTATTCTAATTAGGTTCCAATTTGCCCAAATAGCAAAGAGAAATAAAAATACATGTAAAAAAATGTCCATTTTAAGCAACTTTCGAGGGATTAATTCATTCATTTTTTCTTCAGCTTAGTTAAAACAGAAATGCCAACTGGCCCAGCTGGTACTCGAACTAGTAAACTTTCTGCTCTGAGGCGCAGTGCTAACCACTGAGCCAACGTGCCGCCCGTGATTAATAATCAAATTTCAACTAATTAGACCGCCAAACAATGAATTAAGTTAGGAGTGAAGTCCACTACTAAAAGTCATAATCATATGAAAAAAATATCAAAATCTGCTTTCAAAAAACAGGCGTGAAATCCACTTCAAGGTTGTTGATTTACAGAAGAAAAGGTTTCAAAAATACTGTGGGGAAAAAATCACTTAATTGACTTATGACTTACTATGAGTGTTTCATTATCTAAATTTTTACAGTTACACAGATGTCTACCTAAAATGCAACATAAAAAAAACTTGTTACTGAAAAAGCAACAACTTTTCAAAACAGCTGCAAAACCTAAAATGTAGTTGGCTTGTGTGAATGTAGTGTAGATTAAAGTAGCTGAGTGGCTTCTACGTTTGCTCGCTTTCTAGGCACCATCTGGATCACGTTACCTTCTCCTTACTGTCTCCTTCCCATTAGTGTCCTAATCCAACAACTTGTTACATCAGGCTGCCAGTTGGAGGCAGTTCACTTGATCACGCTACGTTTTAGATGTTTGGTATTCGAGGCCTCCTCAGCATCCATGTTCACATCTCACCACGAAACAGGCTCCCTCGCACCTGCTCCCATCTCCCCCTCAGCTACGGCTGATTGCTGCTGGAGCTCGCAACCCCCCTGCAGATAATCATCTAATCAGGCAGCTACGGTGGGCCGTGATTGCTTTTCCAATCAGTTAACCCTCCTTCACCCTGATTCACTCACTGAGCTGTAGGTACCCAGTGCAGCTGCCATCAGCACCACTAATTAAAACTGGAAGACCATGACTGACTATGAGAAGCGATGATGAGGTGGCTGGAAAGTCATATTATATTGGGAAACTGTTCATATTGCTACTGAAAGGGACTGCATTGGTCTGTGCAACATCTACAACTTTCTTAAAGGAATAGTTCACACTTGAAGAGCACCTAGGATGCAAAAGCAAGCTGTTTGAACAAAACTGTGTAGATATAATGTGTCCACAGTCATATTGGAGTGATGTAAACACAACAAGTCTTTTTTTTTAATTTCCTGACATTAAAATAGGATCCAAATCCCAGCGATTATGAGGTCCACCAGAACATGACGTAGAAGTGAGGTTTTCCTTGTCCACCAAATTGGTTAACAGGCATGTATTAATATGTCTAATATGTTGTAACGTGTATACACATGTCCCCAGAACAGAATTTGTAAAGAAACTGTGATTAAAAGATCTGTTCCAACTCTCTGTGATCAGCTGCACCTCAAAAATGTGTCCGTGGAATGAGTCCAATGTTTGTAATAATAAAGACAGTAAAATCACTATTCATAACCAATGGAATCAGCATAGCCACGTAGAGGCTATACAAGGACACTTCAAGTACTGTAAAAACTGCAAAAACAGTGTAAAGTTAAACGTGTGTGTGTGTGTGTGCGTGTGTACTGTGATCTTTATAATGGCAATTGTGTGTGACTCATTGCATTGATTGCTTGAAATAACTCCACCTCAAATACATTAATTAAACTTGTCATATTTGACTCATAAACTGAGTTTGTAATCCATAAACTGATCCTGAATGAGCTGTTTATCTGATGTGATGCAGTAGCCAACATGCATGTGGAAACAGTGGGCAGGGAGAAGCAGCTCATTTCTAAAGCACAGGTCAAGCAGCTAATCTGTCATCAGAGGTTAAAATAAGCATGTTTCGGAGGGCATAATACACCAAAGATTTATCTTACATCTTGTAAAAGGGGGAAAATAAGAAGCCCTTCAAATGGGAATCTGCTGTTAATTTACTCACATTGTAGAATGTGGTAGAACATTGAAGACAGACGATTTTTAGCTGAAACCATGTGGGCATTCATTAAATGGTTAGCACTTTGATAGTCAAAAATATATATGCATATGGGCAAAACCAAATTAATATTGCTTCTGAGCATACTTTAAAATCTTACTAAGAGAGTCTGTGCAAGTCACTGAACATTTTTTACAACATTATTACACTTAATCCACATTCTTGGCATGAGCATGAGCTTCCTGTCACATTATAAAATATATTAAACATTGACTATCTGTAAAGATTTAAAGTGAGTAATAATACTACAAAGCAATACTTTTAACATTACTCATAGTAAATAACACTTTTTGAACCATAATATAGTACTTAAAATAGTCTGTTGTGGTAATTATATCAATTATGTAGTAGCACAACTATTATAGTAAGATAGTCAACCAGGGTATATTTATATTTATTGTATTATTATTCTATTTATCATTATTGTATAATATTTATTGTATCTACTTACTGTATTTTACAATTTATCAGTTTACTAATAGACTAGTGTGCTGCAGCATTCATTAGCATAACTTATGCTTATAGTTGTATATGTTTCTGTATTTTAAGTAAAGTACATTACACGTTACAATAATATGGTAGAATTGTTAAAAAAAACACGATAGTATTTACTATAAATTACTACAGTATTTATACGTATGGGAAAAGGCTATTAAAAACAGAGATGCGTTTCCATGACGTAACTTAAGTAACATTTAATGTTAAGGTCAGACTATTAGCCTACTGTCAAGTGCTTTTGTTTTGATATCCATTAAACTCGGCTTTAACCATGGTATTGCTTTTAAACAACAGTTTAACAAACTTAACTGTCATGTACCTGTTTTGGCTCAAAGACGTAGCAGAAACAACAAACATCCTGCCTCTCCAAACAGCAAACAGCAGTGTTTTGTTCCTGACTGAATCAGTGCTCCAAATGAATCGAGTAAATGACTCGATGACTCACTAACAAAGATTATCTGATGAATTCGAAAACACTTCTTCACTTTGCTTGGGCTTATTCTCTTCATTAGAAGGCACCACAGCGGAAAAAATCGCCAATTACAATCGCAAATGTATGTTTTTCCACACATTCTCCAGAATCACAAGACAAAAATGACCACCTATCACTGTCGCCATCTATTGGCAAATCAATTTTGACTGCAAAATAAAAAAGTGAAAATTTGCTTTTATGTATGAAATTATATATATATTATATATAAATTATATGTTTACCCTGCTGAAAAAACAGCTTAAACCAGCATAGGCTGGTTGGCTGGTATTAGCTGGTTGGCCAGCGGGGTTTTGGTAATTTCAGGCTTATTTCCAGCCAAACCAGCTATGTCCAGCTTGAACCAGGCTGGTCAAGCTGGTTTTAGTTGGCTTTAGCTAATTATTTTCCAGTCTGACCAGCTAAGACCAGGCTGGAAATGACTGGAAACCAGCCTGGAAATGGCCAAAACCCCTCTTAAACCAGGCTGATCAACCAGCTAAATCCAGCCAACCAGCTTAGGTTGGTTTAAGCTGTTTTTCAGCAGGGTAGTGTTCAAAATCAAAACCGTTGTTCATTTTTTTACTTCATTTTTTTGCAGTAAAACCTTGGTCAATTTTCATAAGATCTGACATTTTTCATAAGTCTGTCTGAACTTTCCAACACTGACAAGCAGAATGATAAAACAGCAGTCTCAGTGGTGTTACATAACAAACATATGCATAAATATTGCACATCAAGATAAGCGTACACTCAACCTATCAAATTCAAGGACCGGAACTAACTGCTGTAGGCTAGTATTAATTTTAACAAACAAACAAACAGAATATAATTCATAATGTATTTCACTGTTTGTACTTCATCTGATGTTCAATGTTTGAAAGCATACTGTTGAGCTCCCAGTTCAGGGTGAAGATTTGGTCTAGAAGCCTATAATTAAGCAACGTAGCAGTTTCCTTAACATTTGGATGGATTAACTGCTTTCTGCATTGAAGGATGTGACTGTCGGCCAGGCCAACAGCAACACATGGCGCCCACGTTCATTTGTCGGCTTGGGTTTCTAGACATCTGTGGGCGGGACAGTAAAACACCTGAGGGGCAGATTTCTGGCTGGGAGCGGGCATATGTTGCACTGGAGGAGCAGAGTGACAAAAAGCGTCCAACACAGCTGAGAAGCGACACCCTGACATTTCACATTTATATTCATCTGGGCTCTGTAGGGAGATCACACAAAAGATGAAGATTGGGAGAGAGGCCACGGGCTCGAGCCTGGGGAGAGTAACAGAGTATTAAAGCAGATGAGTCAATAATGTGTGAAAAGCAGATGAATGTGAGGGAAATAAATGAAGAGATGCAGTGAAAATGAAAAAGGGATTATGTATTATGGAGCTGATGGCCTGGCTATGAGCATAAAAACAGGCCAATTTCATTTTATCAAGGATTTGTAATTTGCGCTCGCTGTTTACCGCCTCTTGTCCTCTGAAGGGAACAAGAAGGTGACATGATCCAGTGTTTGTCCCTTTCTTTGTCCTTGCTCTTTACAATTATATTGCTGCATTTAATTAACTCAGAATAACCTGTGGTTGAATTTCAATTCATTTTACATAAGTGCTGGGTGCATATGGATTATGTAATCTGATTACAAAAATTTAGTACTTGTAATTAGATTACATTACATTTAAAATACTATACAGATACTTTTTATTGATTACATGATGGGGCGACGCGGTGGCGCAGTAAGTAGTGCTTTCACCTCACAGCAAGAAGGATGTGGGTTCAAGCCTCGGCTGAGTCAGTTGGCATTTCTGTGTGGAGTTTGCATGTTCTCCTAACGTTTGCGTGGGTTTCCTCCAGGTGCTCCGGTTTCCCCAACAAGTCCAAAGACATGCAGTACAGGTGAATTGGGTAATTTTCTCAAATTGTCCGTAGTGTATGTGCGTGAATGAGAGTGTATAAATGTTTCCCAGTGATGGTTTGCAGCTGGAAGGGCATCCGCTGCGTAAAACATATGCTGGATAAGTTGGCGGTTCATTCCGCTGTGGTGACCACAGATTAATAAAGGGACTAAGCCAAAAGAAATTGAATGAATGAATGAATGAATGAATACATGATTACAATATGTATTCATTCATTTTGCTTCAGTTAAGTCCATTTATTAATCGTGGGTCACCACAGTGAAATGAACCGCTAACTTATTCAGCATAAGTCTTACATAACGGATGCCCTTCCAGCTGCAACCCACTACAGGGAAACCTCCATACACTCTCGCATTCACACTCATACAGACAATTTAGTTTATTCAATTGACCTATGCCATGTATCTTTGGACTGAGGGTGAAACTGGAGCACCCGGAGAAAACCCATGGGAACACAGAAATACTCCAAACAGAAATGCCAACTGGCCCATTCAGGACTTAAATCAGTGACCTTCCTGCAGTGAGGAGACAGTGCTAACCACTGAGCCAATCTGTTACCCCATGATTACAATATGATTCTTAAAATACTAACTTTCACAAATAATTGTTTCTAAAAATCTTGCCAAAAATAAATAAAACTTAGAAAGACTTTGGCATGTAGTGTCATTTGCATGTTTATTTATGCTTAAACCTGTTCTATGGGTGAATTGTAAAACTTAATATGACACGTTTGCATGTTTACCATTAATAATCACAAATTATTGGACTTAACTTTTGATTTTACATTACTTATGTCTGAATTAATAAACACACAATCCAACAGTTTGGGAAAATGTCATATTAATATATTATTATTAACTTCAAATTGTCAATAACGAAAAATGTTATGTATTTACTTTTTCTTTCTATTCAGATGAATGTGGTACAACAACATTTTTATGTGATGAAAAAAATGCTTTGTAAATGCATATAAACACAAATGTAGTCAGATATATTATCTAAAAGGTGTATTCTAGATGTTTATGCAATTATCATTCTGTAATTTGTCATCATTAATGAACAATAATGGCAAAGTAAACTACAGTACCAAGCACTCTTGAACATTTTTTGTAAGCAACCATCCCAAGTTCTCAAGTTAAGTCGCTCTCATGTTGGCAGAGACTTTAACATCCCAACAATCTCTGTGGGCATATGGCTCTACTTTGAATCACTGCATAATGTTTGCCATATTTCATATGTGGGAGAGACATCTCAGATACTGAGGAGGCTCGGTTGGCAGGGACATGTGTGTAGGGAGTGTGAAGGCATTTGGTCATTTGATTGTGAGCTGTGTGAAATCATTGCCAGGGTGGCTGACAGCCAGCTGCCTCTGTGATTCATTTGCAGAAATGAACTATAATTTGTTTCCATCTTTCACATAATTACCCCACTGACGGTCCAGGTTTATGACTGAAAAGAAAAGGGTACATGCAATTAAAGTCATGAAGATGAGCTTCGGTTGAGATCTACAAGAAATCAGATCGACATTAAAGATGAAACTGGGGAGGATTTGAGACTCAGAGAAAGGTGAGGTGAATTGAGACAAGATGAAATCAGACTAAACACAACTGAAGTAAGAAGGGAGAGAGAGATTACCAGGATGAGATTCCTGAGAAAGCTGAAGAAGAATCAAACAATCATGTTTCCAAACAGGGTAGTGGCACTTTGAGAGTTTTTTGCTCAACCTTAGAATCGAAATTAAATGTACAGGATAGGGGGAGGTCAAAGGAGGTGAGGGACACATCTTATGTGTAAATCTTCAATCAGAAGTGAAGCAGAATTTAGATTTGTACATCCCTTCGTGCCTTTTCAACTTGCAATGCTGCCTCAGAGGGCAACATTTTTAAGCTTTCTGATGCAACCGCATTATGACTTGTTGGTTCCTAAATTAGTTTTTTAAAGAATATCATGAATAAATCATGTGTGCTGTGTGCAGCGCTGTGTCTCCACTTGCTTTCTCCAGCTCTTAATCTCCTCTATCGCTTTTGATTTTGTCCAGCACTGGATCTTCAGTGTTTCTGCATGCTCCATTCAGCCTGAAGTCTCCTGAGTTCCCACGCAGCCTCCCTCTCCCACATCCTCTTCCAAACCCAGACTGTACTTTGGTCCAATCTCTGCTGGCTCCTGGCCAGCTTAATCTGGTGGTATGAATGGTTAGGGATCCCAGATTCCACAACTTCCAATGAAAACAAGAGTTGCACTGAGATAAAATTAGATTATGAGCAGGGCTGCCAATATCGATTTTGGGCCCTATGAAAGAATATTTGAGGTTGGCAGCTTCCGGTGAAGCTATCCCTTATTGGGAACACTTGTAAAGAGTGATGACATTAGAATGAAAGATGAAATTATGGTACCACAAAGAAAGAAGAAAACATCACATAACAATCATTAAAGGCTACAATGGAAGATTAGAGAGCTATGTCTACTCCAGAGTTCCCAAACTTCAGCCAGCAACCGCCAAAAAAACAATGTCAGTGACTCGTGACTCTCAATATACTCAGAGGTGGTTATAAATATACAAACCTTGCAAACGCAAAATGGCTCATACACATCAATAGGCCCAAGTCTATACTTTGTTTAAATTTGGAGAACGTCACTCGGAGAACATCTTCCATGTTCGTTCATGGCCTGTATTTAATGAAGTGAAAGTGTCAGAAAGTTTACCCTAGTGTCATGTAATCAATCTGCTGCATCTGGCACTATTGCTGTATCTTTAATTTAACATAATGAGACCCCAGGGGTCGCAATCCAATAGAAAAAAATGTGCTGTTTTATAACTATTACTATATTTTATCTTTTGTAGCATATGGACAAAATATGCTCATTCTAATAGTTCCATAAAACTATCATTATCCCTTGACCCCTGAGGGGTCCCGGCCCCCACTTTAGGAACCACTGAACCACTAGTCAACTCAACGGGCTAAAGATAGACCTCCTGCCCATGCTCAATGCATTATTCTTTGATTTTACTGTATCCTGAGGCTCTGTCATAGGTATTACTCCATA